CTAGCTGCACACAAGGAGCGGGCTCGCTGGCTTGCACTCAATCCATCTCTCCCACCCAGTCAGTTTGATGGTGAGTATGACTTCATATATGAGTTGCATGAGATGGAGCAGTGGGTGCTTGACGCTGACTTGTCAGACTAGCACCCACTGCTCCATGGGAAGGGCAGATAGGCCTTGTGCATGCATTCTGCATGTGCCTGTTGCCTGTTTGGTGTGTGCTGTGGACAGAGAAGATGCCTGGTTGCGCCGGAAGGTAGCGCCGGGCTTAGGGACAGGTGTCTCGTCAAACCCTTAACCAACCAACCCCTTATGAATTTGATTTTCGGGATTCTTATCTCGTGGAATTCCGATGCGTGTAGGCAGCGTATGCGAGAGCTGTTTTGGTTAAGCAAAACTAGACAGCATGCTCTCGCTTCTGATGCCATTCGCGTGTCGTTCGGCAGCCGAACAAAGGAGGGAAAAAAGAAAACGATATATGGCAAGCCCTTCCGGTTTCACGCATTGCCTAAACATTCGCCTCTACTGTTTTACGGACACGCCTGCCCGAAGGGCAGGCACTCCACTTGTCCGAAAGGAGGAAAACTGCTGCGGCGGCATGCTCTATGCGACGCTCTCAGGTGAATGCACTCATGCCGCAGTATGATTCATCGATGCATTGACGTATTGTTTGCTGCAGATCTGAGCGAGGGAGATAGGGTGGAGTACGTCGCTTAGGGTGAGAAGAGGTGACGCGGACAGGACAGGCAGCATCCATCCAGGCAGCCGTCCCGTCAGAGGCGGAGAGCAGATTACAAGGCTTGCTGGGATCTCGAGAAGCTGCACAAGGCACGTTGCAACGATGGTGTGGCGCTGGTGGCTTATCGGTTTGTACGGCGTCCTTCTGTGGCTTATTCCTTTTGCGGCCTCTTGCTTCTGCTTCGATAAGACCGGCAAGTTGTGGATGGACAAGACCGCGTTCAAGTCGTTGATGATGGTGCTCAGCGCGTCCGTAGGCACTGCGGCCTTCTGGTCTCTTGTCCGGCAGCATCTGTACCTCGATGCAGACGTAGGCAGAGAGCACCGGCGCACCCACTGCCCACATGTCGTGTTTGTCGCTGGTTCGTGTCTGTCTGCAGTCGTTGTCGGCTCTGTGTGTGACGAGTGGCTTTGTGTGGCTGGGCATCAACTACGCCCTCGACCTCCTCGTGCTGTTGCCAATGGGGCAGTATTCCCTCCTTGTGTGGTTTGTTGAGATCGGTGTTCGGTATATGCCGATGCCCCTGACGGGCTGGCTCTTGGGAGAGGCAATCCGGATGGCAGCTGGCCTCAAGGAAGGGCCCTGAATAAATGGTGGGATGTCTGGCCACCATGCTAAGTAATGCTCACAGGAAGCTGCCGATGCGTTTTTCTCGCATCTGTTTGCCGGTGGAGGCAACGATCTGTCACAGCACTTTTCTGTGTGGCTTTCTTTATGCCTGACCACCGCGGTGATGGTCGCTGGTCGTTAGACGTTCTATATGGATGTCTGAGACATTCGTTCTGTCGGTTGAAATCCAACTGGGTCAACCACACGTGAGTCCCGGCCATCCACTTCACGTACCCCATAACCCTCCCTCTCCCATTGACACGCGTCATGCATTCATTCTGTTCGTCAATCACTGATAGCTATGGATGAAAAGCGACCAGCATGATCGGTTCTGCTCCGCCTGCCTCGGAGCTCTGGCTTGGACGGCTGCTGTGCCGGCTTCGTTGCCTCACCAACATGGGTGATGTACGAGGCCGGCGGCGTGCAGCGAATCCAACCAGAGCTCAGGTAGAACCAGAAGGAAGAATGACGGCATGCACCACCACACGGAGATGGGAATTGTGTTCAAACGGAGGCAGCAATCGAACATCACTCTCTCAGCCTTTTCTCGCAATACAGGGGCCGACGAATCAGCCCAGCTCGTCTGTGTCCCCTCACGACCCCCATGCATCCCTTAAACAGCATCAGTCTTCCCTTCCTCCTTCCCCACTCCCTCTCCCCCTCCCCCATCATCTCCTTTGAGCACCATCTCCCTGGCCATCTGTGTGGCCCTCTGGTGGGCCGCCAGGACGGCCGCCCTCTTGGATCGTCCCGTGGCGTGCTCGAGGGCGGGGTCACGGTGGGAGGGGATGGGGTGCAGCAGCCAGGGGTCCAGCATGGAGGGCAGGGCCGTGGCATCCTCTCTCTTGGTCAGGCTGTGGATCAGAGAGGACGTGGTGTCCAGCTGCAGCTGCAGGGGCTGCGACATTGACTCGGTCAGCTCAGCCACTGCACACAAAGGCAAAGAAGATTGGAAGGAATCATAGATTGTTTCAGGAGCAGCGTACCTAGTTTTGGTCCCAGTATGTCTGCTGAGATGCCCTTGGTGATGCTGACGATCGCGGCCTGACACTCATCCTCGCCCTTCTCCTGCACATGCATACACACACAGACGGCATAAGAGCTAAGTAAGACACTTGTCCATGCATCTTGCTCTTGTCCCTCTCACCTCTTCAAGCCATGCATCCAGCTTCTCCGCTGCCTCATCCGCACCCTCTTGGTCCTCTTCCACCTCCCTACCCCTCTCCTCCATCCTGCCCTCTGCCATCCTCTCATCAGTCACCATCGGCCCCTCACCCATGCCGCCCATCAGCTCGCCGAACGCCGGCCCCGGTGGCCCACCAAACCCACCTCCCCGCCAGCCTCCAGACATGTCAGGTGGTGGCGGTGGCTGGAAGCGCGGCCCGTAGTCCATGGGCCCCCTTGGCGGAGGATAGTCCATCGGGTGGTGTGGGGGATACATAATGTGCGGGGGCCTCTCGGGGCCACCGTAGAACGAGTCTGGCGGGCCCCCCCAGTGCCCGCCGCGATCCGACATGGGTGGCGGTGGTGGGGGAGGGGGCCCCTCGTCCTCTCTGTCCCATCTCCCAGGCCCAGGCCCAGGGCGCCACGGCCGGTCAATGGGCGTCGGGCCCGGCACACGAGGGGGTGGGAGTGGACGAGGCCAGCGGCCTTCCTGAGGGGGCGGCCTTCGCGGATAGTACGATATCGGCACGCCAGGCCCGGGTTGCTCCTCTTCCTCGCCTCGCATCATGAAGTCCTCCCCTTCACGGCCCTCCTCTTCTCTCTGCTGTGGTGGCGGGAACTGGCCGAAACCCTCAGACCCTCCAGGTCCACCAGGCCCTTCCCATGGCCCAGGAGGAGGTCGAAAGCCTTCGCCGAATGGCGGCGGCTGATAGGGTGGCCGAAAGCCGCCGTCCTCCCTGTCGTCCCTGTGCATTACGTGGGGGTAGGGAGGCTCCTCCCTCTCCGGCCGCATCATCGGTCGCGGGCGCCATCCAAAGGGCGGCCCGCCCTCGGGATAGAACATCTGCCTGTCCGGTGGCGGGTGGCGGGGCGCACTCGAGCTGCGAGTCATCTGTTGGTGATCGTCTGGCTGCTGCTGTGGCTGTTGTTGCTGCGGTGGATGATGGGGCGGGGGTGGTAGAGCGCCATCGGCCATGTGTGGTGGCAAGGGGCCTGGCTGTGGCGGGCCTGGCGGTGGTGTGAAAGGCGATCGATCCATCTGACCATTCTGCGGGGGCGGGGGCTGGCCGCCAGCCGGGCCAAAAGGAGCAGGAGGACCACCTGCACGTAACAAACAGAGATAGAAAGACGAATGAATGCGACCATCTCATGGTTCCGTGCATATTCTCACCTTCTCCCATGTCGCTTCTCGGCACCATCATCGCCCCGCTGCCGCGCGGCCCAGTGCCCATCCACTGCTGCCCATCCTGCCCGCCATCGCCAGCCGGCACTGGGGGCGATGAAGGGATAGATGGCGGCTTGCTGCCCTGCTCGATCCACCGACCAGATGCTGTGCGGCGCGCGTGTGGGGCGGGGGTAAGGATGGGAGGGTAGCGACGCGACGGCGGAGGCGCCAGCCAGTCGGGGGGCGGTTGTTGCTGCTGCTGCTGCATGTCTGGTGGGCCGCTCTCTGGAGAGTGGATGGGCGGTGGCTCGATGGGGGCCTGAGGAATCAGCCGAGAGAGAGAAATCAATCTCATGATCCAATTGTCATGGTCTTGTTTCGATCTTACCTGCTGCTGCGGTGGTGGTGGTGGTGGTGGAGGTGGCTGTCCTCCCTCCTCTCTCGGCTTCTCTCCCTCACCAACGTAGCCCCTCATCCCCTCATGCTGCTGCTGCTGCTGTTGATGTTGCTGCTGTGGGTATTGCCCCTCATAGGGCCCTGGTGGCGGTCGATACATGCCCTCGTCCATCATGGGCGGCGGGCCCCGCCAGCCAGCACCAGGATGGGACGGCTGACCCTGCCAGGGCGGCGGAGGGCGGCCGTAGCCGGGATGGTGATGCTGATGCATGTCGGGGGGCGGCCCTTCGTGCGGTGGCATGTCTGCGTCGGGTGGCGGGGGCTGCTGGTGGGGTGGATGCATTATCAACGGAGGCCGGTCTGACGGTGGCATAAAGGGACGGTGAGGTCCTCGGAAGGGGAAGCGACCGCCTCGAGGGCCGCCGTCCCAGGGAGGTCTGGGGCCGCCTTCAGGGAACCCGTGCTCACCGCCCTGACCACCAGGGGGCTGCTGCTGCTGCTGCTGCTGCATGGAAACAGGACAGGAGTGTCACGTACGGCGAGTGATGTGATGTGATGTGATGTGTGCTGTCGTATGGTGGTGTCTGACCTCGTGTTGTTGTGGCGGCCTCCATCCTCTTGGTCTGAGCATGGGTCCTCCTCCACCCCCTTCCCTCTCCATCCTGCCCCTGAAGCCACCCCGCCCCCTGCCCCTGCCGCGCGCCTCGCGTGCCTCCCGCGCCTGCTTTCGCTCCATCTCCTTCTTCTCCCACCACGGGGGAGACCGCCGATTGCCGTCACCTGGGCGATCGCCCTGAGGAGGTCGTTCGCCTTCACGAGGTCGGTCGCCTTCCTCACGCGAGTCACGCCTCTCCCTCTCCCTATCCCTCTCCCTCTCTCTGCTCTCCCTGCTGTCTTCGCGTCGCCTGAATCCGCCACGACTGTCGTCCTTTCCACCGGCCTCCTCACCGCCCCTTGCCGGAGGGTCGCAGGGCTCGCCCACGTCTGGCGCCCTGTCGAAACGATGTGGCCGGTCCTGACCGCGGAACTTGACGGGCGACCCGACGTTATCCTGCTGCTGCTGCTGCTGGCCGTCACCGCCGCCAAAGCCGCTGCTGACCTTGCCGGCCTCGACATCCGGCCTGTCATCTTCGGGCTTGGGCTGGTCCAGCTTTGGTGATGATGTGTCCATGATGACGCGACGGGCGGGGACGGGGGGCGTGTCCCGCCTGGGTGACTCGTCCCGACGAGAAGGGGGGGTGGGAGTGCCGCCACCGGTGAAGCTGTTGGCCTGCATCCATAGATCAGAGCACAAAGACCAGCCGTGAAGTCCGTGATGGGTGGCGCGTTGTCTTGCTGCCTGCCTCACCCTCGGAGGTTCTCTGTCGCTCCTCCCACGCTCCCGTGACCGTCTGGGCGACCTCTCGCGGTGTCTGTCCCTCGCATCTCTATCGTCCCTGAAGCCCCTGTCATCCCTGTCACGCGAGAAGGGCTGATGGCTGTTGTCCAGGTCCCTCTCCCTCTCCCTGTCTCGGTCTGCCCTCCTGGGTGTGGAGTGGTCGTTGTGGGCGTCGCGGTGCTCCCTGTGCCTGCTGCGGTCGTGGCGGCTCTCATCGTCAGACTCTCGCCTGCGGTCCTTTTCCTGACGATCCTTGTCCTGAGTAAGGAAAGCGCGTGTGCCTGCCTGTTGTCTGCCTGTCCGTCTGTGTGGGTACGAACCTTGTGTTTGTGCTTCTTCTTGTGCGACCTCTTGGTGTCGTCACTGTCAGGCGAGGAGCTGACAATCCTGTCCCGCTCATCCCGCTCGCCCGACCGGTGTTTCCTCTTCTTGGCCTTCTTCCGCTCCCTCCTCCGCTCATCATCCTCCCTAGTATCGCGCTCGCCACGCCTCAGACCCTCCATTGCCTCGTCCACATCACGACCCAGGTGACGCGCCTCAGGAGACTGCATCCATGAGCCATCCCAATGAAAACAGGTGGCCTTCTCTGCCTTTGTGTGCGTCTATGTGCTTACGTGTACCAGTCCCAGTTCTTCAGCAGGGTCCACCGGCGGCTCCGATGGCCTCCATCTGTCGTCGCGACTCGCAGCACCGAACCCATCCTCGAAACGAGAACGACACTGTGACATGCTGGCCCCTGATGCTCACTCAGCTCATGCAGCACGTATCCTCAGCTGGCAGAACGGCATTTCCATACGCGAAGGTGGGTGCCGAACGCGAAGAACATTGAATGATCCGCAAAGTTGTTTTTTCGCTCACAAAGCCCTCAACAGTCACAGCATAACGCACCGGATCCCGAGATCTTCCGCCCGACCATGCGAGCTGAGCTCGCAGACGACACTGGAGCTCGCATTTTTTGCGTTCGTCACCCACCCAACCAACCATCGATTTCAGCGTCTGCACACCGTTCATCAATGGATCTGCCACTCACATACTCTGGAAGGGAAGTGCTTCTCGCATGGAGGTGAGAATGAATGCACAAGAAACTCACTCAGTGGCTGGTGAAGATGCATCACTCGACTCAATGTGGGCGTGTTTGTCATGTGTGCAGAGTGGAACACAGCGGCCGGCTGACGCATTGGCTGACCATCGCTGCCAAGCTGGTGCTCCTGGCCTCCCATGGCCTCTGGCTGTACGCCCTGGCGCTCAGGCAGGATGGAGTCATCAGCTGGCGCTGGTCTTACGTCTTTCTGGTGGGCACCGACGACAAGCAGGACTAGAGGCGATAACAACGTCATGTTGGTGATTCATTCACCGCTCTGTCCTTGTGTCTGTCTGTGTGTGCAGCCTGCGTGGATCGGTGACGTCCTCTGCTTGGCCATTCTTCTCATCAGCTGGTCAGTCAGTCAGTCAGTCAGTCAGTCAGTCAGTCAGAGAATGGCAGAACGCAGAGCAGCTTCTTGCATCTGGCTCCCTGCCTGCCGTTGGCCGACCTTCGTGCAGGTTCGCCTCGTGTCCGTACATTCGCCTCTGCCTAAATGAACACACCACACGAAGTGAGTGCAGCTCATCTGGCCATCCATACATGTCCTTGACCCTTCTTCGCCTGCCTACCTGCCTGCCTGTGTTTGTCGTCTGCGCAGTTGGGAGCGACGACAATCCTTCCGTCTTGACAGAGATCCTTCCAGAGTACAGACACACGACTTACAAGGGTTCAGGTGCCGTCCCTTTCTCTCTCTACGTACGTGTATTGCAGGATTTTCCTTGCCATGCTGGGCTTCTTCTTTGTCTTGGTCAGCGCCAACAGATGAGCTACATGTTGGTGTGTGGGTGTAAGCAGCTGCTGTCCATGTTGGTTGGCACCTCAGCTCATTTTGGCGAGCGAGTCGCTCCTATGTCAATTTCTCGCTTCTGCGCAAAAGGTGGATGCACTGCAATGCACCGCGCGGAAGTGACAGTCATGCTGTGTTGGTGATTCCTCGTGGCTGCAGTCTGCGATGCTGGTGAGCATGTTCGTGTTTGGGGTGTCTTTGCTGTGCGGATGCCACGGGCTCTGTCTCAAGAGCGACAGTGCACACGTGTATGGGCTGCTGGGACTCGACGGACTCGTCACGCTCGCGCTCCTGCTGGTGGGGAAATGTATGGGAGGGAGGGAAACAATGGCAAGCGGCGCATGTGTGTATGTGTGTGGGTGACAGGGCGTGAGGGAGTTCGATTGGCCAGTGAGCCTGATTGCGATGCCCTCTGTCGTGGCAGTAATGCTGACAAGCACACTACCCTGTGTGAACGCACCCACGAATGTCATTGTTTGCTTCAGGCCTTCTGCTTCCTTGTGTGTGCTGGTCGGGACTACAAGAGGAGCGCTGACGTGCTCGTCAGAGGTACGCATGGCGCCACACAACACACACGACAGATTTAGTGAGGGAGGGATTTCACGCCTTGCTGGCTGCGTGTGGTCAGAGGAGAAGATCCTCCGCATTTTGGAGAGTGTGTTCCTGCTGTGCATCCTCTCGGCTGCCGCGTCCACCTATTTCACGCTGCTCAACAAGGACCCTGCCGACAGGAGATTCAGCAGAGACGGATTCGTCGTCGCTTTCTCCATGGTAAGAACAAGACAGAGAATCCCGAGATCGCCTCCTTCGTTCCTTACTCATTGATGTTGTTGCCTACAGGTGGTGATAAGTGTGGTTCGCGGCGTCCTGGCCTACAAGGAGATCCAGCTGGGAGAAGTCAGCGCCCGTAGGCTTCGCGTCATGCCACAACCAGGTGAACAACACGCTATGTCAATCTCCATCCATCCGCACACGTGCCTCCTTCGTTCCTTCCCTCCCTCCCTGATCAATCAGAGCCGACTCGCCGGTCCCTCTTCTTCGAGATCGGCGGCAGCCGCCGCACCGTCACACCCAGGTCGCCATCGCGCCCCTCGTCAGAGCTGCAGCCCCAGGCCTCACTCAGGCGGCCGGCGCCACCGCAGCCCCCGAGGCCGACACCCTCCACAGCGACGTCCATTCACTCGCAGCAGGCGTCAGGTGTGGCGGTGCCGCACGTGCCTGCTGCATCGCTCAACGCCATGAACCACGCCAGGACGCTGGCCGTCACTAACCAGAGCGACAGCAGCGCTGCCAGTAACAGCACCTCCACCAGGGACGAGCGGGAGAGGGACAGGAGGTCAGCACACACCATACCACACCAGACCTCACAGACTGACAGTGCAAGTTTGGGCGTGTGGTGTGCGTGTGTGTGCCGTGCAGGGTGCCTTCACATCCGTTGGAGGGGGGCAGTGGTCGGGCGCGTCAGCTGGAGGAGGCCAAGCAGCCGCTCACGGGCGAGAAGGGCGGCCGGGGCGGCCTGGGGCTCGCCTTCACCAGACAAGACAGGGGCAAACCGCCGGACGACAATGTGTGAAGTGCCAACTCTGATGGCATGGATGGATGGATAGCATTTGCCTTCTTGTGGTGAGTGACTTTTTCGGCATTTCGGCCGTCATGAAGAGCGTATACATGTGTCACTCCGTGCGTGTGGGTGGTTCTCGATTACCGTGGGCAATGGATGCTCGAAGAGATGCGAAGGTTGAGGAGACTTGTTTGTGGTGAAATGGGCATTCACTCATTCACAGATGCATCCATACACACACGAGTCATGCTGTCGACACCCAGCGAATGGAACACACATGAGCGCTGCACTCATGTATTTTGCACACACACTAAGTGGGTGTAGGTGGACAGGCAGTCGACACACCATCGCCCCACACGCACGAAAAAGCAACAGCCAAGAGAGCAATCCGACAGCCGAGCGGACAAGAAGACGTGCAGATGAATTGTCAGCCGGCCATCCATCCATCCATCAATCTGTTTTGTGCACCACATGCACTTATCCACTCCAGAAAAGAAGCCATAGCTAGGCTCGGCCCGACCGACCCATCTCCCCCTTACTATCGGACCACCCCTCCCTCCTTCCATCAGAGCAGCTGTACACAAGCAGGAGGCCTCACTCAGTCCTCACAGCGAGGGGGCATGATATCCGCTACAGCTAGGCCCTCCCTCTCTCCGTCACCCCTGTGTGTGTGGTCGTGTGTGATCAGGGGAATGTTTTCTTGGTCATGATGGTGTAGAAGTCCTCGAAGGAGATCTCTCCGTCTCCGTTGCTGTCGGCGCGTTCGATCATCTCCCGCAGCTCCTCCTCGGTCATGGTCTCGCCCAGCTCCTTGGCCACCCTCTTGAGGTTCTTGATCGTGATGGTCCCCGTCTTGTCCTCGTCAAACAGCGCAAATATCTTCTGAATCCCATCACGAGACTCCTTATCACCCTGCATGCACGCACCCACCCACACACCACAGGCATCCTTGTCTCATGTGCCGTCCCACACGTACGCGCCTCACTCGGTGTGTGCATGATTATTGTGTGCGGGCGTACGAGTTTTGCGCAGATGGCGTCCAGGAACTCATCGAAGTCGATGGCGCCGCTGCCGTCCCTGTCGAGGTCTGCTATCATCTGGAAGATGGTGGGGTTCTTGGTCTCGAAGCCCAGCGACTGCATCGCCGCCTTGAGCTCCTTCGGGTCTATCGTGCCGCTGCCGTCCGTGTCAAACAGGTTGAAGGCCTCACGAATCTCGTCTATCTCGTCCTCCGTCAGGCCGGGACGCTCGTACGCCAACCGCTTGTTGCGCGTCAGGCGGCTCATCGCGACAAATCAACCAACCAACCAGCAAGGGGTCAAGGGCCAACCACTACACTTCTCGCGCCGCTCTGAAATGCGATGAGAGGCGCTGGAAAGTGGCGATCTCTTTTCTGCCAAGCTCGCAGGGAGGAGGGAAGGAAAAGAAAAGGGAAAGACGAGCCCGAGGCGTTGGCAGACGCCGCCAGGCCTCATGGCTTCCTTCCTTGTCGGAACTATCCATGAAGTCCACATCTGACCCTTCGGATGCCTCTCTCGCGACGATGCGGCGGCGAGTCTCGTCGAAGAGGGGCAGCCACTGACGATAGACAGGTAGGGCGAAGGCGAGATGGGAAGGAAAGGGCATCCCTCATAATGGTTGACAATTTATCCATCTTGTGTGTGCAGGGCGGTTCACGTCGACTGGAGACCAGTGGCTTAAGACGATGTCGAGCACATACGACGGAGCCGACCTGACGGCGCGTGTCGATTCGCGTATCAGAGAATACGCAGATTCTGTTCTGCGGGAGCGCGCGGCTTTTGTTCTGCAAGAGTGTCTGAGGAGCCCGAGAACGGACACAATTACGCAGGGAAAAGCGCAAACACTAGGTAAGGCAGCTAGCCGACAGGTCATTATGGATCTCTAATGGTGGTGGTGCTTTATGGGCGGGTGGCGCGGTGCAGAGGCATTTCTGGTGCTGGAGGAGATCCCGGATGCCGCTCGTGTTGCGAACGTCATTAGCACAGCTTTGCAGCAGGTCCCGTCATCTGCAACAGCTGATGCTGGTCCTACTGCGGTGGGTGTGGCTGGCCGAGAAAATCTGGCATGCACACAGATACGACCTGGCATGGTGCTCACTTGTGTTTGCTTGTTGGCTCGATCAGGGGCAGATGCCGCTATCAGAGAACAAGCTGCTTTGGTCCTGCAAGAGTGTCTGAGGCGCCCGGCAACGGACAGTGCAATCACGACAGTAGGTAAGCAGCCAGCCGACAGGCCATTATGGATCTCTAGTGGTGGTGGTTGTGTGGGCGGGTGGTGCGGGGCAGGGGCATTGCTGGTGTTGGAGGAGATCCCGGATGCCGCTCATGTTGCCAACGTCATTAGCACAGCTTTGCAGCAGGTCCCATCATCTGCTCAGGCTGCTGCTGCGGTGGGTGTGACTGGCCGAGAAAGAGATACGCACGCAGACATGACATGGAATGATGCTCACTTGTGTGTTTGGGCCTTTTCCTTTCTTGTCAGGCCGCATCAGCATTGTCAAGTTCAGCAGCTGCCATGCCATCTCAGCCCTTCCCTCTCACGCCATCTCTCCCCACCACCACACCCCACCCATCCGCCCAGGCCCCCGCACTGACTCCCGTGTCAGTGGCCGACGGTGCAGCTGCAGCTGGGTCAGGGGAGAGGGCGGCAGACACACAGGAGGGGGGAGCAGGGCAGAAGGGAGACGACGGGGCGGAGGAGGGGGTGCGTGAGGGGCGGTACCGTGACGACCTGTTGGTAGAGTTGTTTGAGGAGCTCAAGATAGCCGACCCGATTCACTACGCGTGGTGTGAGGGGGCTGATACCTTCACGCGGGTCTACAGTAAGCACCCAGGGGAGGGGCCTGGCTATCACTCTTATGCCCATTTATCGCTTTGTGCCTGTATGTGACTGATTGGCGTGTCAGGAGCCCTGCATGACGCGAATGTCGCCAATCCGATGAAGGTTCTTCGCATTGTCGGGAGAGCGCTGGCGCAGCAGGTGGGTGGATCAACATGACGCTTTCATTGCATCGACGACAGGACTGTTGTTTGTGTGACTCGGACAGACGCAGCCCCCGCACTCCCACCGTCCCACCGACCCGTCTGTGTGTGTGTCATCCGGGCAGCCGGCAGACGGCGCGGGAGCTGTCGGTGACTCTGATGACCACGAGGCCATGCAGTTGGCGAACGATGAGGCCGCTGATCCTGCACCGTCGAGTCATCCTCCCGCCCCTCCCCTGCCACGGCAGCCGCCTGCGTCTCAGGGAGAGCCGGCAGGTGCGATCAGCCTGGAGGACATGGAGCGCTTCTGGAGGGAACAATACACCGCTTTGACGGTATGTCACATGTCATTTGCAACAAGCACCATGTCATCTCCTCGGTTGCCTTTTCTTTGTGGCTGGCTGGTTCGATCAGGGGCAGATGCGGCCCATCGCACCGCCCAATCCTCAGGTACAGACAGGCAGACAGATAGACAGACAGACAGACGCGCGAATGATGAGGAGAGCACCACATGTTCAATGACGTGACGACTGTGTCGCTCGTCAGCATGGTGGTGGCGGTGCTGCTGATGACGACGACGAGGACATGGAGCGCTTTTGCTGGGAACGATACACCGAATTGACGGTATGTCACACATGTCCTTTGAATCACCATGTCACTCCTCGGTTGCCTTTTCTTGGTGGCTGGATCAGGGACAGGTGCCGCCCATCGCACCGCTCAATCCTCAGGTACAGACAGGCAGACAGACAGACAGACAACGTGTATCATGAGAAAGGCACCACATGTTCCATGACACGATGACTGTATTGCTCGTCAGGCTGGTGGCTGGGCTTCTGCTGCTGTTGCTGCATCGAGCGGGCCTCTGCCAGCAGCATCCACTACAGCTACTCCTGTGGTGGGGACACCTACGCCAGCACACAAAGACACCTGGTCTTCGTGGACGGATCGTTCATGCTGTCAGGTCGGGGACTCCTCCGTTCCACCCATGACACTGTTTCCGCCCGGCCGCGTGTTTTTGGGCCCTCTCCGGCCGCCCCCCTGCCCCTGGCCCTTCGCCCCACCCATGGCCGTCAACCACAACACTCCAGCTCGACCACCGCACATCCCCATGGCGTCGATCATGGCGCCTCCTCCTGGCCAGATGATGATGCACCCCTCCGCGGCTGGAGGTGCCCGGATGATGCTCCCGAGTGCCACCCGCACAGGCCAGCAGGCACCATCCGTGCAGACGACCGGCGGGGCACCGACGACTGGGAACGGCTAGGCACGACGCACATCGCAGCACAGTAGCGGTGGAGGGAGTAGTAAGGGAGCAGTAGAGGCAGGTGGGAGAGGGACGGAGGGAGGAGGGAAGGATGGAGACTTCGTTGCCTATGTGTGTGTGTTTTGAGTGTTCATGTCTGTGGGCTGTGTAATCGATTGCGGTGTATCCACGCGTACGACAAACGCACTCATCCATCCATCCATGCCCTTCCATGAGCAAGAGCAAGAGAGATAGACAGATGACCGACCCGACGTGCCGTTCCATTGCCATGCTGTGAGCCAGTCGAGTCATCAGACGTGGTCAAGCAGCCAGCACCCCTGGTGGTCGACCGGCTGCGACTGGTGGCGAGACTGGACCACGGATGGCTGGGTGGCGGTATGGTGTGTAGGTGAATTCGCATGGACTAACTCGTGGACCGTGTATGCGGACAGACCAATGTTCGGGCAGTTTTGTCAATGTCGATACAAACAATATCATATATATAACGAACAGTCCTCTCCCATACGCTGCCCTTGCCCCTGGTGTACAAGACACGCAGTCAGTCCGGCATTCATCGACCAGCTATGTGCATCACCGATATGAACAGGCAGAACGAAAAACCAGTCGGTCGGCCGGTCTGTCTCCCGATACTTGCTGCGGCGAGACCATCCGTCCATCCATCCGCCTCAAGCGATTACAAACACGGCCTCATCGCCGGGCAGCTGCTAACCTGACGGACAGACGATATCAAGCAAGATGGAGCCACATACGATCACACAACGGAGGGAGGGAGGATGGGTGCCGCCGCCGCTTGGTGCATGTATTGTAATGAACTGATGTCAACTGATGTATGGACAGACATGAGTTCACAATTAAAGCGTGTCCATCCTCATCCATGAGTTGATACGTCATTCGAGCATCCAGTCATGTCACGTATGTCTGTGTGTCTGCGCTGGCTGGCTGTCGTCGTGTCGTTCACTCTTCTTCTTCCATTGCCATTTCCCTCTCACTCTCCTCTTCTTCTTTCCTGCGTGCCAGCTCATCCTCCGCCTCGTGCTGTGCCAACTTGCCAGCCTCCAAACCCTGCATGCACACACAGATACACGCAGCCATCCATCCCATCCATCCATCCATCCCAACGAACGATCTTAGATAGTTCGTTCACTGACCTCAGTGTGTGGTCTCTGGCACATCTCTCTCTTGTGTCTCAGCTCAGCCACCTTTGCTTTGGTCTCTGCAGTCTTGGCGGCAATGGACTCCACAGACTCACCAACCTGCATCCACCCATCCACCCATCGCACACAAACATCCGAGTGTGTGTCGGTATGTGTCGCGTGTCTTGCCTTCTTGGGACATGGTGCAGGCATGGCTGCTGTCGTGGCAGCTCCCTCCTCGGCCGCCTTGGCAAGCTGAGTGGACACAAGAGACAGGGAGAGACATGTGGATGAGTGCCATGTCTCAGTGTGTTGTCGTCTGTGTGTGTGTCGTGTTGGCTGACTGCTTCCTCCTCGGCTTTGACGTCCTCTGTCATCGACTTCTTGTCGGCGATGGCGGCTCTGACCTGCTGCACGTCCCTTGCGGCTGCCGACTGTAGCGAGGCCTCCGTGCCAGACAACTTCGCCGCCATCTCGGATGTCTGCACACAATCGTGACAGAGAGTGATGAGTGTGGTGTGTGTCTCCGTCCGTCCGTCTGTCCGTCCGTCCGTGTGTGTCACAGTACCTGTGCGTCGAGTTTGGCTGTGTCGCTTGGCGGTGCCTTTGCGGCTCTTACGGCCTGGCCCGCCTGCTCCTTGGCCGTGTCGAGAGCATGCTGACATCCACACAGAGTCATTCAGTCGTCACACTCATTCAGTGTGTGTGTGTGCGTGTGTGTGTGTGTGTGTGTGTCATGCATCTACCTTCTGTCGCTCGAGTCTCCTCCCACGGATCTCCTCTACGCTTTTGAGTGTATCGGCCTTCCTCTCTGCCTTGACCACCTCTTTCTCGCTCTCGGTCTTGCCCGCCTGGCTGCGGCCCTCTGCGACTCCCTCGCGATAGACGTCGACTGCGTCACGCACGACGCTCGGAGGCGCACGGCGGCTGTACATGTGGCGGATGGCGTGACGGTTGCTCAGCGAGTCCACACTGACGGCGAAGAGGAGAGACACCAGCAGGACAGCCTTGAGCATCATCTTGCAGTGAACGAATTGCAGAGAGTGAGTCAACAGACAATCAAACGGACGAGTGACGAATCGAAGAGCGAATCAATCGCGATGTGATGCTCGATCGTTCATCAGTACGAGTACGAGTACGGTGAGTTTATACGTGTTGAAGAAGACCCATGTACGCACCAATCAATCAGGAGAGTCTGTCACGCAGGTATGCAAGGAGGGGATGACATGAAAAGCTCATGAGAGTGACCAGCTACTTCCGTCTGCCCGTTGTGCATGTGCTGGGTGGGTGTTCGTGTGCCCCGTTTTGTCCTCTCAACCGAAGCTCAATCACACCCTCGTCAAGAAGGCGGTGTGATTGAAGCTCAAGCAAGAGAACACAACGGAACACGCGGACCACACCCCCCCACACTGATAACCAAAACGCACTCCACCAGCGATTAAAACTCATTCATGTAAGCCAGTATTTACATAAGCCAGTATTTACACGAGTCAGCTCACGGAGGTGTGCCCGCACAGCCGTTGAAAAGTCAGCCAAAAGAAAATGCAGCCCACAGCTCACTCTCACACACACGGGATGCTAGCTGGAAGGAGAGATGGGAGCGAGGCAGACAGACAGGTAGATAAAAGCAAAGAGGTGTGTGTACGCGAGCTGTGTGTGGTGGTGGCTGCTCGGCTGGTGGCTCAGATGAGGTCGGCCACGTTCATAGGCATCTCGTCTATCTGCGTCGAGTAATACTGCTCGATATCACGGAGAATGCGAATGTCGTCATTCTGACCACCACACAAAGCACACACACACACACACACACACATTCGTCATGCTGTAAGCATTCTCTCACTCTCTCTCTCTCTTTTTTTTTGTGTGTGTGTGTGTGAATGTGACTGTTACCTTGACGAAGTTGATGGCGACACCCTTCCTGCCGTATCGGCCGGACCGCCCGATGCGATGGATGTACAGCTCACGATTGTTGGGCAGGTCGTAGTTGATCACCAGCGACACCTGCACACACCCATACGCCCATGCGATGAGCAGCGAGGTGGATGACATTCGTGTTGCCGACTGACCTGCTGCACGTCCAGCCCTCTCCCCCAGACGTCCGTAGCTATCAGTACCCTGCACTCACACACATGCCGAAGACACAGAGTGGCATTGTGGTCTGCCTGCGTGTGTTGATGGATGATTTATGTACCTGTTAGACCCACTCCTGAACTGGCTCATAATTTGCTCCCGCTCCTTCTGCGGCATGTCACCGTGCATCGAACTCACCTGCATCCAGCACACAACAACAGATACAGGCCGATCCTTGTGCTCCCCACCACGCACCACGCCTCTCTCCCTCTCTCCCTCCCTCCCTTCGGTAACGAACCGTGAAGTTGGCCTCGCGCATCTTCTGTGCGAGCCAGTCGACCTTGGCCTTGGTGTTGCAGAAGATGACGGCCTGTGTGATGGTGAGTGTGTCATACAGGTCGGTGAGGGTGTCGAACTTCCACTCCTCGCGCTCGACGGCGACGAAGAACTGCTTGATGCCCTCGAGGGTGAGCTCATCACGCTTGACCAGCACGCGGAAGGGGTTGTTCATGAACTTGCGGGTCATCTCGAGCACCTCGTGCGGCATGGTGGCCGACACGAGGATCACCTGAGTGGATGGCGGCAGGTACCGGTAGATGTCGTACACCTGCTCCTTGAACCCGCGGTTGAGCATCTCGTCCGCCTCATCCAGAATCAGCATCTTGATCCGACGCGTCGTGAAGTGCCGCTCGTTGATCATGTGGAACACGCGGCCAGGTGTGCCCGACACGATGTGCACACCCGCCTCGAGGGCACGGATGTCGTTGCCGACCGCCTTGCCGCCGACGCAGCAGTGCACCTGGACGTTCATGTAGTCGCCGAGTGCGAGGGCCACCTTCTGGCTCTGCTCCGCCAACTCGCGCGTGGGTGAGAGGATGAGCACCTGGGGATCCCGCTCGGTCATGGCGATGGTCTGCAGCGCTCCCAGGCAGAAGACGCACGTCTTGCCCGTCCCCGACTGGCTCTGGACTATGACGTCACGTCCCTTCATGATGGGCACGATGGCGCGCGCCTGCACCGCCGACGGACGCTCGAAGCCGTAGGCGTAGACGCCGCGCAGCAGGTCCTCCTTGAGCTCCATGCTGTCGAAGGTGGGGAACACCTGACAGTCCTCGCTCGTCTCAAACACCATCTGCTCATCCGAATCTAGCGCCGACATGGTGACTACAGGGACCAACGATGGGCGGGAAGGTAGAGGGGGATAATCAGCGAAAAACACCACCCGGCAGAGCGTAGGGTTTGGGGTTAGGGTCAGGATCGCCAGCTAAGCTCGCAACTGAAAAAATGCTCGACGCTTTGCTCGTGTCCTGGATCAACGTTGGTGTCGTCGTCTACACCGTCTTCGGCATCATCGGTTTCATTCAAGATTTCTGCTATCGTGTCCTGCACCGCATTGCTACCGGAGAGTGGGAGTGGGGCCGCTCTCGTTGAGCACACAACAGCAGGTACGCTATGCGTGAGGCCACAAGAGCATCAGTGACCCATTCCGCCTTCGCCCCACGTCAGACTTTGCATCCGACTGAGTGTGAGCGGCAATGTTCTTCTCGCCTTTCGAGCTCTTCATTGGCTTTGTGATGGTCTTCGATATCACCCTTGGGGTCGGGCTGTTCGCCCACTACTTCCGACTGTTCGCCGGAGGGTGCGGTGGGCCGCGAAGTGTTATGAACCCCTACAGCTGAACCACACTGTTTCTTCCCAAATCGTGTCTCCGCTTTGCTACCAGCTGTTTGCTACCTCTTCGTCAACCGGGCATGATCCCTCTCCCCCCCCTTGACCCCATCTGGTGGATCAACGCTGGCGTGGTTGTCTACTATATCATCGGCATGATCTCCTTCGTCGAAAAGTGATCCTGGCGTTCGATCCCCTTTCGTGGATCAACGTTGGTCTCGTGGCCTACCTTCTACTCGGTCTCGTTGCTTTTGTCCAAGATTTCTGCTATCGCGTTGCTCGTCGGGTTCGAAGAGGCGAATGGCATTGGGGGCGAACTCCCTGACATGACGCTGAGCACACAACAGCAGGTATGCCTATGCGTGAGGCCACAAGAGCATCAGTGACGCATTCCGTCTTTGCCCCACTTCAGACTTTGCATCCGACTGAGTGTGAGCGGCAATGTTCTTCTCGCCCTTCGAGCTCATCATTGGCTTTGTGATGGTCTTCGATATCACCCTTGGGGTCGGTCTGTTCGCCATCTTCTTCCAGGAGTTCGCCAGAGGGTGCGGTGGGCCGCGACGTGCTATCAACCCCTACACTTGAACCACATGGTTTCTTCCCAAATCGTGTCTCCGCTCTGCTACCTTATCGCCAAACGGGCATGATCCCTCTCCCCCCCTTTGACCCCATCTGGTGGATCAACGCTGGCGTGGTCGTCTACTGTATCATCGGCATGATCTCTTTCTTGTCATACCACTGGTGCCGTGAATCTCACTGAAAAACGGTAAGTCAGACGGGGAGTGGGGCTGTACACAGAGCACTTACGCCTGTCATTCATGTCCTGTCCCTTGCCACCACAGGTTCTGCGTCATCAGGAGCGACAATGGTGTTCCCGCCGGTGGACTTCATCACTTTCTGTGTCCAGGCCCTTGTCTGCACCTTCTGGATCTCGTTGTCCATCTGGATGATCCTCAATATCCTCAATATCGGGCAGGAAGACACCTCCCGTCTGAGGCTGGCGCTTTAGGAGCCAGTCGCTCAGCCCAACGGCCCCGTTTGCTCTGCTCCTTCTTCCCTTCCCCCATCAAGAGCTCCAATGTTCTTCCCTTTCGCTGACCTCTATTTCGGATTGGTGCTCGCCTTGAACATCATCCTGTGGGTCGGGTTCGGTGCCTATTACGGCACCATGCTCCACTCATACTGTGGTGGCCCGCAAGACATCTCCCTCAACCCCTATGCTTGAGCCTGTCCTTCTCAAGCCGTGTCTCTAGTCTGCTACCTTCTCGCCAAGCCGGACTGGTTCCCCCCCCCCCG